AGTTAATTTGTTCCACTTATATCCTCCTGACTACCAGTAGTTCAAATTTGTCCTCTGTAGAGGACATTTGTGAACCTAAATATCTCCCACCCAGTGCCTCCAATCGCATTAACTCCTTTTGTTACTCTAAAGAGGACATTCAGTGCTTTCCAATGATACCAAATTTGTAGGGGTTAGAAAAAGTAAGAAAATGGCTTCCCTCAGTGCAAGCACTTTTTATGGGAAGAGGAAAAGTAATACTTTTTATCGACCACATTTTGTCTTGAAATGCTGTTGGCATTTTAATTATAAGACTCTTATGAACACGTTAAAGTGTTGTTTGAGTTGTTTTAAGTGTATTTGAGCCTGTTTAAAAAATGTAGGGATTTCAAAATTTTCTTTTGGAGGAGTCCAATTACTTCACATAGATTGGGGAATGTCAAAATAAATGTGATTGGACAACATTTTTTTTCCTGGTAGTCAGGAGGGTATGACAGTTAAGCAAAAGTTGAACCTTTTCAACATCTTGGGTTGACCACTTTCAGGACAAGTGTGTTTCATTCAACTCACAAGGAGAGTAACATGAATCCAGTGAGATGACGTAAGCGAAATATGCTGGTGTTTGTTGCATGTTTGAAATAATTTAGGATACAATGGTGGGAATGTCCTTCTCTTCAACTAATGTGGTAAAATAATTAACTTCAATTATGCACCCGTAATAGCTCGGCGGTTGACTGGTTAGCGCATTGACCTCACAGTGCAGAGGCGCAGGGTTCGCTTCCGGCTCCGGCATTACTGTGTGGAGTTTGCATGTTCACCCCGTGCCTGCGTGGGTTTTCTCCGGGTACCCAAATTCCCAAAACAGGCATGTCAGGTCAAAGGAACGCTCTAAATTATCCCTGGGGGTGATTGTGAGTGTGAATGGTTGTTCGCCTATGTGTACACTGTGATTGGCTGGCATCCGGTTCAGGGTGTACCCCACCTACTGGCCGAAGACAGCTGGGATAGGCTCCAGCACTCCCTGTGGCCCTTGTGAGGATAAAGCGGATCAGAAAATGGATGGATGGATATACACTCATACAGTGTGTGAGTTTGTGTGTGTTACCTCAGGCAGGCTGTAGGAGAGAGCGTGGGGGGGACAGTGTAACAGTGTAAAAACACACTTTGGCAGCATGATAACATCTAGTCTTCAAGTCTAATTAAAAGGCACAGCGGGTTCGGAGAGGAGAAGTGTGTGTGTGTGTGTGTGTGTGTGTGTGTGTGTGTGTATGTGTGAGCTTTTTCAGTAAGTCACTGGCTTCAGTGTGATCGCCCGTCAAATGGAACAATGTATTCTGCGGGACCTCAGGGTTTCTATTTGAGTAGTCGGACGCAGCACTGCGATGAACTGTGGTTGTTTTATCTGTAACAAAAAAAAAAGTTGATAATTAGTCCCACTGTGACTGAACGATGAGATAGAGGAAGAGGAAGGGAGGGAGGGAGGCTGGGAGGGAGAGGAGTGGCTGAGGTGAGGGGGAGGTAGAAAAGAAAAAGGAGAGCACTTAGCACACTTAATGCTTCGACCTGACACTGTCGAGAGATTAGTGATGGACTGCTTCGTTTTTTGATCTGAGCTTTCTTTTTTGTCTCTTTCGCTCTAATGATGTAAATAGCATTTATTATGGCCACATACAAAACTGGGAGTTTGCTCTTTTCTTTAATCTTATTTTTGACTCATCACATTTGCAAATTGTAGACAAAAAGCAAGCCTCTCGTATGGAAACCTTCATTCATTATTTTTTCAAAAGGGCCACTGATAGTAATTAGCAATTAAAATGTGGTCTTTTTGCTTCACTTTCGCCCTAATCAGCTTGACAGAGAGAAGTACTTAACTCTCTGTGGTAACCCCCAACGATCCACACATGCCTGCACACATACACGCGCGCGCGCGCGCGCGCACACACACACACACACACACACACACACACACACACACACACACACACACACACACAGATATTAATCCGTCTCATTTTAGTTTTTATGTTGCCGCAGATGTTAAACTAAACAACAAAGGCAATGGCAGCCATGCAATGGCCATCAATGACCAGAACACGCACTTGCGTGCACGCAGACACACGTTCACATTATTGGAGGAATATGAAGCTAAATTCACTAGAATCGCTTGGAGCTCATAAAAATCCTTTGAATTTCAACTCTTTGGGTGCCAATTTTAGAAGGCCATGTGATATCATCCGGGGTAAGGTACTTGACCATTCCATTTTGTGTGTGCAGGTATCATGTTACACTTGAAACATGTTCACATTTCATGATTTCTTAAGGTATTACAATGGGACATAAAAATGTATCAATATTGGTGAAATAATGGGATCTCTTGTCAGAGGGCTGAAGGTTTGATGGAACTTCAATTTATAGTACCCACTTAGATTTTCATCCACATAGTCTTCCGGTGGCGCTTCAGTCATTTTTTTTTTTTACACGTCTGGCTTTTGTACTTTCAAGGTTTTCCTGAGACACACCCATCATGCATAACCGACAAATTTGTGCGCAGCCACCAGATAAGGGGGCCGGGGGTTGCACTCTGGTTCCAGCGCTGTATAGCGGCCGTCCAGGAATCTCCCGAAATTCCCGATGTGCACCAGCTCCCTGCTTAAGTCGATGGGAGAATCCACGTGGCCAACAAAGTGGTCAGATTTGCACCTTTTCTGACTTAAACACATGTGAAAATATTCCCCATCATGAACAGTGAGTACACCCATGCACTTGTTCTTCATAAAGTCCAGAACTTGATATATAACTAGGCTTGGGCATCGACAACCGAGAATCGAGTGGAACCGGGACTAACATTCTGTCTCTCCCGCAATTGTTCACATTTTAATCTCGATTCTGAGTTAGGTAACCCCCGATAGCCCTTCCCACTGCTGAAACTGCTCCAGCACCATTTTTTTTTGCCAACGATGAGAAAAGTGTCCTTTGCATGGAGGAATCGAGCTTGAACTTTCCTTACCTCCCTCTACATTTTCTGCAATGGGATGCCTCCAGCAATGTTGGAACTGTTTTGGAGTTGCCTTTTTGTTCCAATGTGATTGCCCCACTGCAATGTCCGTAGTGACAGAGTTGGATGAGAACACATTTGAGGTGAAATGGAACAGAGATTGGGACCGAGGCCCTTTTTGGGGTCCCACATCTGTAACCTCTGACCTCACACATGTTTTTTTTAGGCACACGGACAACAGCTTCCACAGACACACTCCAAATGTATATCGTCTCGAAAATCCTTTGAGATCTGGCAGGTAAAAAAAGATGGCAAAAAGATGATGAGCCTTTCATCTGAAAGTTGCAAAGCAAATCAGGAACTTTTCTTTCATGCACCCTGAAATTGATTTTTTTTCAATTCCTCATTGACCTGCACATACTGTGCCTGTAGTGTAAGGCCTTATTAGTGCTTGGCAGCAATGCTGGTGCTGGTCCAGAAGTGTGGCAGCGGGTCACACAGCTGAGCGACAGCAGGAAAAAGCATGTCGTGTTTGTTTGGAGTCCCTCTTTGTCACCCCCTCCTACTGCCCAGCCCACACACACACACACACGCACACACACACACACACACACACACACCCTTTCCTGTCCTCTTCTTGGCCTTATTTAGCCCCTCGCCGTGTCACACAGAGGTCACGATGAGCATGCACACACTACACACCAGCCATACGGCACGCAATACAAAAGCAGACGCACACATGCATACAGATTGCAAATAGCATGGTAGAGTGCATCATAGATGGAAGTGCCTTGAAGGAGCTGATTCTCATACTCTTCTAGACCTCATTAGCTGCTGATTTATCCCCCACCCCCGACAACCCCCCTTTCTCCCTGCTAATGCGCTGTGTAGTGTGTGTGTGTGTGTGTGTGTGTGTGTGTGTGTGTGTGTGTGTGTGTGTGTGTGTGTGTGTGTTAGAGAGTAATACAATGCAAGCAAGGAAGACAAATGGCGTGTATTTCCAAGGATTAGTGTCTGATTATACATGCGTCTGAGAAGTGAGAAAGATCAAGTGCGCGCAATGGGATGAGGGCATGTGCGTGTATACATTTGTGTGTCCATACCACGCGATTGTACATGTGTGTGCGTCTGGAGGTGTCAAAGAGAAACAGGCACGCTGTTGTTACGCATTAACCTACATAAGCACATCCAACCTGAGGTCAAACAAATTAATAAATGATCCTTCACGCACATGCACACACACACACACACACACACACACACACACACACACACACACACACACACACACACACACACACACACACACACACGTGTGAGATAGTGGCTGTGCCATCTCATTAAAAATTCTTCAGCCCTGCACTTCATGATCATGACTAGAACACACCGTGCGGTGGTCCACCATTATCCATTTAGCACTTTTTCCACTTGTCTTGCAATAATCTGCGGGAGCCCCCTGTGAGCTTATTATTGTTATTGCCGAGGAAAAGCGCTGGTGGCAGCACGCACAGGTAGGATTTGGGGAAGGAAAAAAAAAATTACATTTGCACAAGGAACCAACAATCTACACCGAAAACTCTTGCACTTTTGTTGCACTCGCCAAATGTTCACTTCTTAAAAAAGTCATTTATATTTTCTGACATTGTTTTGATATGACAAAAAAAAAGGTGGCTGTAAGTCTGCCCTACATAATTTATTGACTCACGGGGATTGAATCTCAGGAGGACAACCCCTTTTTTTTTTCCTGCCTTCACCTGATTTCTTCGACACGGCTGTCCCAAGAGATAGCTGTGAGCAAAATAAACAGTAGAATCGTTACTTTGAAAGCCCTCAAAGCACAATTTCGCTGTGATAAAGTCAATTAATTACCGTGACAAGGTATAGCGGACAAAATGTGGACTGTCGAAGGGTGTGGTTTTTATGGCGTATGCTTAACATGCAGTGAAAACGCAATGGCCGGTTTAAATTAAAGGGCTTGGAAAATTGTATGTGGATCTGACTTTTTTGTCTCTTCTCACGTCGGTAGATGTGAAGAACCTGGAGAACTTCCACCTGGTAGAGAGCGTCCAGGAGCAGGTGAATGCGGCGCTGTTGGACTACGTCATGTGTAACTACCCGCAGCAAACGGACAAGTTTGGTCAGCTGCTTCTGCGGCTGCCAGAGATTCGAGCCATCAGCCTGCAGGCCGAAGAATATCTTTACTACAAGCACCTGAATGGTGACGTGCCCTGCAACAATCTGCTCATTGAAATGCTCCATGCCAAGAGAGCTTAGGAGGGGAACTGCACTACCAGCAACGCAGCTGCTGCATGGACACTTTGCGAGGAGTCAGGCCGCAGCCCCAAATCTTCTGCTTTTATTTAAATCCACCTCAGCCCTGAGTTGATTGCGTAAAGAATGGCAAACAGAGTAAAACCTCGAGAACTTTGAACAAAAAAAAAAAAATACACAAACTGAGCGTGCGCGCATATGAACGAGGGGAAAGAAGTGCAGACACACAGGACACAAAGAGGAACACTTGAACTAAACAAGGACTCACTGTTTATAACTACAGTGACTCTAACAAAGGACGTTTGCTTCTGGGAACGTGGACTTGTGTTTAGACTTTTCTTTTAGCTCTGGTTGGTACTGTACAGACGGCATTCATGTGGTCAACCAAAGCGGACTCTTACCTGCGATCACTGAACTCATCGAAACGGCAGTGGCAGCTTGACCTGACCAAAAATGTGAGAAATGACTATTGAAAAAGAAAAGACCCGAAATGGAATGCCCCTCAGTGATCAAAACAGTACTAGTCCAGTAACAGAAATAATTTGGTGGGTCCCCTTATTTGACCGCCCGAGTCCTTTTAAACCATGTACTTCATTCAGAATGTCGAATGTTAAAAACATATAGTTAATAATATCAGCTAAAATGATTGTGTATTTCCATTTTTCTTGCAAAAAAACACCCTTAATTTTACAATTTTACTACGAAAAAAAAAATGGAACGAGACAACCTGTGGTTTTGGATGTGGTTCTAGTCGGCCTTTGCCCAGAAAGACCAAAGCTTGCTGCAGAAGAAGGAAATGACACGAAACCTTTATAATCAGTATTATTTAATAAAAGAAAATTGCAAAAAAAAAAAGAAAAAAAGGAAAAAATATATTGTGATGTCACAGTTATGTGAGTCTTGCCTTATTTCATTACCATGCTAGCTAACTGTGCAGATGTGAATGAAAATATGTACAAATATATATATAAATAAAGTATTAATGTTGTAAAATTAAAAAAAAAAAACAAGAATTGCAGGTGTTTACATTCATGTGGTAATATGGGAGACAACTGTGATGACGCATTAATTGCAAAGCAATGATTTCCTAAAAAAAAAAAAAAATGACATCATCGACATGGGGAAAAAATTGGTTGCTTTCTTTATTGTTGTTGTGTGTACAGTGTTTTTATTTGACTTTTAATCAGTACTTAAATTATGTCGTGAGACACTAAAATCATTGGGGAATCACACATAAAATATTAATTTCTACGTCTACTGGCATTGAAACATCTCTGTCTCTTAAGTATTGCTGTATAGGTTTCAGTTTCTTGGTCCACTTTTTTTTGTACAACTTTTATTCATTATTTACAGTGCTTTACCTTTTTGATGTACAGAATGTCACTGGTTACACGTAATAATGAAGATAATTTATTGCGTCTCTTGGTTTCCATCTTTGTGTTACATGACGTAAGGTTTCGGCGCCACAATAAATTTGTCTACTGTAAAATGGTCTTGTTTTGTTTTTATAAACTGAGCCTGGAGGAAGGGATTTCAATACACGCGCGCACACACGCATCATGAAAGTTCCCGAGTGTCTTGATAGAACATCTGTGACATGCCTTGGTCAAATGCACCTCACTTCATCGTAAATCATTGCAAATGAGACACTGCTCACACCACCCCACCCTCTCCTGCAGCGTGGGCCATCAAAGTCCGTTTTCATCACGTGAAAAACGCACAAAAAATATATGAATTGATATAAATGTATGTATATAGTAATTGAATATGGATACAGCAGAAGTTGAGTCGCGAGGTTCATTTGATAATCTAGATAATGTTGAGATGACTCTGACTTTGTGAAATCGTGTATGTGATTGTGTGTGTGTGTGTGTGTGTGTGTGTGTGTGTGTGTATGTTTGAGCGCTGTCCACACTAGCACACACAAAAAATGTTCGAACACATTTGCTTCTTTGCGGATTGGCCCCCTTCACACAGCACATTGCTACCCATTGTGAGATGCAGAGTACATTTTTATTCGGACACTATTTCTTTCATTGTTTTTGACTGAGACGTGCAACACTTTTTTTGTATGTAAAAACACAATTTCTGTCATCATTTTATTTCATACATTGTACACCGGGATTCATTTTACATCAAGTTGTGGAGTAAGATGACAATTAAAAGGGATCAGTTAACAGTTATATAATGTATTTTACATGATCATACACAAAGAGTTCACAAGAATGCTCTATAATTTCATTTTAAAAATCCAAACTTCCTCACACAATTTGACACAGTGCAGACACAGAGCCCTGACGAAAAAGTGACTATTCAGGTTCAGATTTAGAAAATGTTTAATCCATATTGTGTCACTAGGTAAGGTTAGGCCACGGTAAAATGCAAACAACGATCGCGCGCACGCACGCACACAAAAACAAAATCATGCAACAATTTCAATTTAAAGGTCCTCATTTGAGTAGTCAGGCCCTTTCTATGATAAAGTTGAAGGTCTTCGAGATGAGAAGCACGAAGCAGTCAACTCCAGCTCCAGGGGGACGTGGAGACTACAACCAGCTGGTGATGCTTCCACTTGTGCAGGCGACGGCTCCTGTGTGGGAGGAGGTCGGACTATTTATTTGCATTTAAGAACACAGCAGGTAGTTTATCAGCACTAACAGTGTACCGTAGACCACATAAAATGTCCCTTTTTTTCTTTTTAATCAACTGTGTGTTCTTCACGACAAGCTTTATGTCACAACTCAGGAATGTTGATCTATTATCCAACATCCAGCTCAGGTGAAAGAAACAGAAGCGACAAAATCATGAAGGTAAGGTCAGGAGTAAAAGGAACCAAGCTAATGAATGACACAAACAGAAATTTCCTACACTACAAGATCAAGTATTGAAATATACATATTTTGTGCTGGTTGGTCCACCAACATTGCTGAACTCTAAAGTGGTGAACTGGGGTCACTGTGGCAATAACCGAAACAATAGTATCTTAAATACAAGTCACTTGCAATTTTTGTTCCCCAAAGGTGCTCTCTCAAGTTATTTTGGCAACTGCACAAGCATTTCTGTATTCTAGTGTTTAATATCCTTTATCCGATAAGTTTTTTTTTCTTCAGTTTTATATTTTGAATGCATCCCTTGTCGTAATATTCTCACAAAATAAAAATAAAAATATCAAATAACAATTGAGTACTGTATAGAAAAAAAAAGTTCAAGTATCTTTACGAATAGTCGGCGATCCGCTCCATGAAATTATTTTGAAGCAAAATTTCAAACTCAAAATATTGCGTGTATTACTGCTGAGAATAATGGAGCATAATTGATGAGAGACTGAAATCCGCTTTATGAAACCCACATTGCCTAATTAAAAAAAGTAAAACATCTCCAGTAATACTTACCCAGTTCCCCTTAGCTGATACAAATAGAGACTGACTGACCAGACCTTCCCATGTCGACACACACAGTAAAGACAATAAAGGATATCTGGTGAAACAATCCTAGTGGCACGTAATTGGCCACGATGCACATTCGTGCACATTCGTGCTCAAGTCGAGCCTACTCCAGTTGACGTTACCTGAGTTGTGTGGTACACTCAGGACCGGTCGCCATTCAAACACAAGCCACACAACATAGACAAACCAGGCTTCACACTCACAGGTGGACATTTATTTTTTTTTTTTTTTAGTATTCCACAGATGCAAATGTTTTCAAATTTGAAGCTGGAATACTGGAAGAAAATCTGCAATGAGAACTCCACCCATGAAAAGGCCTCAGCTGAGACTTGAACCCAGAAACTGTAACTCTGAAGTGACATACAAAGCAAAGTGCATGTGCCAATATTTGACAGTTTGGGGCATTTTTCACTTCATGGCCGGGTTGCCCAAAATATTTTTTTTTTCATTCAAGAACACAAATGGATTGATTGATCATGGGATAGATATGTTCTCATGCAGCACAATGCATGCCGGTCAGTCAGAGTTGGGAAAGTAGCCAGCTCCACAAGCCCTCACTTGGAGCTTGGCTTGCAGAGCCTGGCCTCTTGCTCCATAAATGCGTTCAACCTGCCTGCCTTCACTCGCCCAGAATTTGTATAAATAATGTACATGAATTTATCTGCACACTCTAACAAGTGCAGCCTCAGGTGAAAATATTCAGAAATGCATGTGGTGTGCGTCCCCGAAGGTGGACATCAGCTCCTGACTGACCGAGTGCAAAGATAACCACGTAGATAGCGAGAAAAAAAAAGGGGGAGGCGGGGACACACACACACACACATAAATAACTTGCCGAAAGCAACATAACACTCAGCTCACACACACACGCACAGATGTAACGCTGTCAATTTCTAAACAGGCTTTCCTTCCCATCACACAAACAGCCCCGAGTTGTGTCGGCCAGTGTTATTGTGAAGCTTTTAAACGCGTCACTCATGCTCACTGAGATGCACTCGCGCGCTTCCTGCACGGCCATGCGGCAGGTTGACACAAACAGCAAATGAGGGTACAAGCGGAAGACGATTTACCATCGGAAGTGGATTTCCGGGTTGCTGGGGATCAGCCGAATGATGACAATTTATTAGGAAAGTGGATTCATTGACAGTAAAATGTGATGGCTTGAGAGCTGAGAACGTGCACAATATCCGCCAAAAATGCATTTGTAACAAAAATAATTTATTGCCATAATTGAACCTTTTCAGGGACAGCAGTTACGACAGTAAACAGCCTATCATGTAATCAGTTCACGGGTTATCATTATTGGTGCATGAAAGGGTTAAAAAAAACAAAGTGAAGGCATTAGGGAATTATTTTTAGGAAATAACACCTATGAATATGTTTCTTTTCCATTTTATTTACTAACTACATTACACTGCCTTGTAAACCAAGTCCTACTTTAATGTTAGTGAAAACAGGCCCAGACTTAGCCGAGTCCTGCAGTGAACTGAGTCTACTTCTTACGTCATGTCATGGTCACACTGGAATTTCCGCTGTGGCATTTATTATTGGTAACATTGTTGAGTTAGCGCTCGCGTTGCTGCTAATGTTACCGTTTGGAGTCGTGTGTATTGGCTTGTAGAAAAAAAAGGAAAATGAAAACAACACGCGCTAAAACAAGATGAGTTTTGAGCATGAGGATTTCTTCTTTGACACAACTTGGAAGTTCACAAATGTAGTGGGAGGTGGGGTGGGGGGGGGGGGTTGCTACTTTACAAGCCTAAGAGTAAAAGGCATTTATCAAAAGGTTCTTACTTGATATCAAAAATCTCATAACATTTTAACTGAGTAAATGTTACCAAAAAATAAAAAAATAAAATCTCTCATCTCCCTCCTTGTTAAAACTGATGGAGGCTGACCGAGACTGAAGAGAAAGAGCAGAAGTCTTCAGAGAGCCAATTAGCCAACTTTCAAATCGCTAATAGCGGCAGTTGTACCTTTTGTTTGCCCACCTGATGGACAAACTTTACACATGTAAAGATTCAATGAATAGGCGAGCATTGTTAATGGGAACAGCCGCCATTGTGACACAAAAGCATCACGGCGGCACGCAAAACAAACGCACAAAGGTTGGGACACGGAATGGTTTGAAGGCCGCTGCCGTTTCATTTCAAAGCATGCATTATACATCATTGTGCATAAAGAGGAAGCCTGCAGCATTATGATGCTTTTTTCCCCCCCTCCTGATGATTATCCTTTATAAGTAATTATAAGGAGAGCGATAGAGGGAGGAAAAAAAAACAACTTTTAAGCACCTGAACCTCGCTGCCAGCATTCCATTAATTGCCTACACAATAGGGGGAGCCTTTAGAGATTTTTCAATTTCAAAAAATAAGGAGCACACATTCAGTGCTCATGTTATACCGGCACTTAAATCCTACAGAGCTCATAAAAAAAGGACTCAAGGTTGCGTCCAATTGAAAGCCTCCAACTACAGCCACTTCAGAAATCCATTTAGCAAGCAGGGGGTTAGAACATCTAATTCAATAGGAGTTGCTCTGTTAAAACTGTTGCACCAATGTCTTTTAAAAACAAACACACACACACACACACACACACACACACACACACACACACACACACACACACACACACTTTGAGGAACGCGCACTTCCCCTG